AGGTCATCTCAGCATTATTATCATTATCACTTCAATCTGCCTTCAAAAACATCAACATTTAATTATCTCATACCATGAAAAAAAAAAAAAATTCACCCAAATGACTGGATTAATTTGGCCACTGCTTACCCGGTATATAATTGAATACCTGGTTTTTATAGCTAGTTGGGCCAAGAGAAAAAACAACCTAACCTAAGAAAAAATATAAAATGGAAACAGTTAAGAAGAAAAAAAAAAGGACTTAAATGTTGATCTAACATAAAATCCTGATTTGATTCTGGTTGGATGATGAATGCAGATTTTATCATCTTTTCACTTTCCTCAACCGTTGAAAATTTTCAAAAAGGTTGTTTTCCTGCTCTGCATCAGTTATATTGACCAACATTCCTTCAACAATATGAACAAAAACTTGTTGAAGGACTAAAAATTAAAAGGACAACAAGACATGAAGAAAGTGAGTTACTGTCAAAGGAGCCTTTACATACATGTATGTCAGTTTTACATGAAGGAAGCAGTGTTGCTAAGTCCTTAGAGCAACTTCAAGCTCTTCACTCTGTTACTTAAAGGATTTGTTCTTAGCTACTGTGAGTTCAACTACACTAGCTACAATTTGCACATTGTCAATGACATGCCTACCTGGAAATTAACTAACCCCCATTTTTCTTGCCTTGATGAGCCCAGAAGAAAACTCCATGCAGTTCAGCCAATTGTTAGTGTCTTGATTCAAAGTTAAAATGCATGAAAATTTTAGGGTGATTCCTCACTTTATCACCGCAAATCCTGTATTGCACATTAAAATCATGTAATCTGGGAAATGAGCACACACAAGTTCCGAGAACATGGTAATGTTTTTAAATCCATGGACCAGGTAAAGAGGCACGACCATCTTTAGCTCTATGAGCAAGCACAGTGACCCATACTTTTTATTGCATAAATTTCATGTACCATTTATCCCCTTTAAATTGGGGATTCAAAAAAAAAATCTCCAAAGGGTAAAAAAGATAAACCTTAAAGCATGTACAAATTAGCCCTTTACTTGAGGATTCAAATTATGATCTTGAAAGGAACGACTCAAGGAACATTTTGAGTCTATGTCATTTAAATTTACTTGATTTTCCTACTATTTATATACGAAATTGTTCCATATGCTCCAAATTTTCTATGTACCGTATCAAGTTATTTTCAAGGGTTACTTTAAAAACCTTAGCTTCCACCTGCAGCAAAATGTACTGTGAACTGATGAAATGACACTCATTGATTATTGCCATTGTACAGGCATAAATGGGGTATGTTTGGCCTGTTATTTAATCTCCTAAACAAGCACATTGACTTATCTTTTTTAAAATTAATGTATTTTTCTAAAGAGTCATTTGTAAGGAACATTTAAGGAAAGTTTAAGGACAATTATTCAACAATTTTTTTTCAGAGAAATTGCACAATTGCACCTTTTATTCTTTTTGTTTAAAGATTTTATTCTAAATGAATTTAAGATTCTA